AGAAGGATGTGTGAGAGCGATTGGCATTTAAATGAGTTTAAATCAGGAGACTGAGATCTGTGAGGAGGTGACTGTCAACAGAAACAATATGAGGACCAAGAATTGACCCTGGGGGCTTCGGCTTCAAAAGGTCAGAAGGAAGAGTAGGAACCAGCAAAGGAGACAGAGAAACAGCAACCACTAAGGCAGGAGGAAGGTCAAGAGAATGCAAAGCCCTGGAAAGCGAGGGAAGAAAGCATGTCTAGGAGCTAGTGATCAGCCATGTCAAATGCTACTTATAGGTAAAAATGTCTGCATGTGGAGGTTGGGTTGGCAATATCAAGGTCACCAATGCCTTTCACAAGAATCATTTTAGAGGAGTAGTGGATTCAAAAGTCTGGTTGGACTTAGTGTAAGAGAGAATGGGAGAAGAGGAATTGGAGGAAGTGAGTATAGATGATGCTTTCAAGGAATTTGCTGCAGAGAGCAGTAAAATAGTGGCTGGTAGCATTTTCTGCCTCTCTGGCTGGCTTCAAGGGGGATCCCCCTCACATTTTATAAAAGCCCAGTTTATATATAACTATTCAGGCATCCCTTGTTTCTATGAAGTAGATATGTATCATCAGCATAGAAACCAGATGAGACTGTCAAGGCCATTTCAGTTAATCTCCCACCCAATAAAGGAATTTTCTTTATAATATTAATACAATAAATATTTAAAAAATTTTTCATTTGCAACCTAGAGATCCATAGATGAATAAGGCACAGTTCTTGCTCTTAAGAAACGTATGTTTTTAATGGGAGGAGGCAGGCATATATGCTTCCTGTGTGATAAATATTATGATAGAGGCACATCAAAAATTTTGTGAAAGCATAGGGGAGAGAGAACTAATTAATATTTGAACTAGGTCTTGAAGATGAGCATGACATTTTCCAGACAGTGTGTTGGGGAGAATCCTTTTACCAGATAATAATCCAGTTCCTGTTTGAATGCTTATAGCAACAGAGAGCTCACTACCTCATGAGGCCCATTCAGTTTTAAATAGCTATAATTATTGCAGATATGTTTCTTATATTGAGCCAAACAATACCTTTTAATATTTCTACACCTTGCTTCCAGTTTTCTCCTGTGGAGCTAATGGGCAAAGTCTTACCTTCTATCATAGAAGTCATTTCTGTATTTGAAAATGAATATCATGTTCTCTTTTAAGCCATATCTTTTTCATATTGTAAAAATGGAAATGGCTAGAGTCTCAGGTTGGGTTCCATGGGAAGCAGAGTCTGAGACCAGGTTTAGTGTACCAGAGGTTTATTAGGGAGTGCTCTGCATATCAACGCCATGAAAGGAAGATTGGGCAGCAACGAGCACAGGGAGAAGTACAGGTGTGATGCAGTTTTGATGGACGCTCCAGCCAACCCTGTGGGAAGTTCTGAAGATAGGCTGCTCCTTCAGAGTGAGGGCAAGAGGACCAGGTCTTTATATTTCATGACATCCAGTCATTCAGAGCCATTTACCCTGGGGAGGGGACATGACTTTGGGTGAGGTGGTTCTCTTCAGCTCATGCAGTTCCCAAAGTGGGCTGACAGTTGAAACCACTTTCTAGGGGCATTATCAGCAGGTGGAATAATTAATCCTTTATGTCTGAAGTGGATCTATAGGGGATCTGGGTGATGCAGAGGAAAAATCTCATGTACTGCTAGTTTTTTAGGCAGTTATTTTCTGAGACAGACAATAGAATGAAAAAGTACCTGTTTTTGTTTCTTCTTACTATTGAATAAACACTATGCACGTCAGAGTGATGAGGGTTCAATATAAGCATTCTAGACTGATGGGGTATAATGTATAATTGACACCTGCTCTGTTCTAATTGCTCATCTCAGTCATGGTGACCCTGCATATAGGAATGCTTTAAAGATGCTCTCAAGGCAAGTTGAGGAAGTACATTTATGCAATAAATTTGACTGGGAATCTTCACTAGGAGGAAGAGACTGCTCCAAGGACCCTTACACATCAACATTTGGTAATGACATTAGGAGATAAAAGTGTAAGTGGGGAAGCATAGTGACCTGCAAACTGAATTATTTCCCTGTACATCCTAGAAGATGACACTTCTTGTGGTGATCGCAATGCATGTTGGGTGCCTGCAAAGATGGATGCGTGGCCACCAGTCCTTTCCACTCCATGCACACATGAAGATTGCTCTTTGATTTGTGGCGGTGACCATAATTTGCAAAGCCTGTCACTGCTTACAACTAATAGTTAGCCCAAAGCTTTGTTGAAAAACAGCCGTCCCATTACCAATTGCTGTACACCAGATTGATCTGTCAACTAAATTAATAAGGTTGGACCACTCATTATACTGGGAAATGTTTGCCCAAGCTATAACTCTGTCTCTTGATTTCTGTTTTGGCTTCATTAACCTCCTTTTGGTGCCACAGATAAAATGGTCATGTAAGGCATCCTTATTTAATGAAGGATTGGCAGGATAAAATGGTTGAACTGGACATTGGTGGGAGCAGAGGAGTCAGACAAAGGATGATTGTGGAGAATGATAGAATTAGAAGGTGAGATGAGGCTGTGGTGGGGGTAAGATGGAACCATATTAATATTTCTCTTTTCTTACTTTCACCATACATTGGCTTTCTTCATGTAGTAGCTGGCAGTTTCTTTAGGAGCTCATTTATAATTGTGAAAGAGTTTCAAGAGAAGATTAAGAGAGGGTCAGGTTGGTATATAAAATAGTGGTTTTCTTTTAAATTCGATGTCATGAGCATGGGCTCATTTACTATGGGCCTGCATGGGTTTTTTCTCAAAGCTACTTCTAGCTCTGTATTTGTACTAGCAGTGGTTTCACTGTAGATGGAACTTTGTGGGTATTCAAGAACCTCCTTGTGATAAGCTATGTTCATTTTTCATAGAATGGGTAGACTTAATTTGTTTACAATTGGGGTCTCTTTCATCCTAAGCCTGTACATTTTAAGGTATGTTTGGAAGCTTTTGTCACTTTGTTATATCCATTGAGCTTGGGAAAACTCAAGTGATGCCTCATTTGAGAATCCCCAAAATTCCCTTTAGCTGAAAAGATAACAAGAAAAACAAATGGCTATTTCTTTAAAGCAATAGCCCTTCTGGGTGGGTTATTCTGTAGCTGGCCTTCCTTTTCTGTTGTTGTGGCTCTCTGTAGGCCCCCGACAAGTCTTGATATAATTAAGCTTTGTTGTCTTGGATTGCCACTATATCCTGTAACCTAAGGACTAAGTCAGCTTCACCTGAAAAGCAGTGCTTTTGTTGTAGTTGGAGAAGACCAGGAGCAGGGGCTGGCTGAGGTTTGGAAGGTACAAGTATGAAATCATTATTCTATTCTGAATTCATTCCCACTCCCATCCCAAACAATTCTCAGTACCTAACCCTCTCTACTTCTCTGAATTGCATGGTCCTATGAGGCTCCTCTTTGACTGTATGTTTAAGCCAGGGGAGGGAGCCATGATAAGCACCATTTTACCCTTAACAGAAAGAATCACCCTCAAATGATTAAGCATCTACTGTTACATTCTGGATAGCCTGTGAGAAATGTGAAAAGTTTAAGTCACATGAAGCAAGAAGCTCTGGCAGAGCTGAGGGGCTGGAAGCTTTCATTGCCCAATCAGGGTCTTTGGACACGAGCTGGATATTTCCCAACCTGTATTTTTTTCAATAGTAGATGCCCCCAAAATACTTAGCAATTTCTCAGCTATGCAACAATATGTTCCTGAACTAAGAAATCACTGTATAATTTTGTTTAAAAGCCTGGTCTCTTGTAACTGTACTTTGAAGCTGTAGTCTGGGGGATAGAAAAGAACTGCCACTTTGAGAAAGACACAATTTTGTTAGCCTGGATTGTTATACAATGGAGATGAACCATCAGATAGAAGATAGGGGGCACTGACCAGGAAAAGAGATGCCATTACCCAGGAGGAAGTCAGGGGAAAATGGACTGAGAGAGGACAGGGTGAGAGGGTCTTTATTTTGTGGTTTCAGATTCTTCTAGCTATAAGGTGGAGATAAAATGCAGAGCTTAACATCTCAGAACAGCAGGTGAAATACAGCTGAAAATGGGAGAAATTTAAAATGGCTTCTCCCTCAAAAGGAGGGAGAAAACATAAGATGCTTGGAATTGACAGAGGATTATGTGTGTAATACACAGGTCAGACCGAGACTTTAGACATTATATAAAAAAAGAGAAAGAACAGTCTTCTATTTGTTGCTCTCAAATAAAGCTTAATCATATATAAGCTTGAATACAAGGCATTCTAACTTGTGGCTTAGATATACTGTTTGTGCCTTACTCTAACTTGAATATCTCATTATCAAAGTAGAAGATAAAGAGAAAGCTAAATGTGCTATTAATTTAACAGTTATATCTTTATGGAAAATGTACTGACCAAATCTTGTACTATACATGCTTCTCCCTAATAACTACATCTGAGTACCACCCATTTGCTGGGCCAGCGTTCCTATACCACCTCCATGGGTAGGTTTAAGGGTAGATGGATGGCATTTTGGATTATTCACTCTGATTGAGTGATACACATCCAAAATTGATAAGTCCAAAAGGTTTGAATAATGGGAAGTGTGTGTGTGTGTTTATATAGCTCACTTGAAGGTAAAACCTGACCTGAACTGACATGAAGCTGTTTAGAATCTTTATCCCACTTTATATGTTTTACTATAGAAATATTAACATATTTGATTTTAGGAAGCTGCCCTAGGTTTTGCAGTAGCCCCAAGAATTTCAGATAAGGAAAGTGTAGACCTGTATTGGTTTTTTTCTAGAGTCTAGGAGATAGTTTTAGGAAGAATGGTATTACAAATGTTCTCAATTCAAACACATCCAATTTTAAAGGCATTATATGAAAACGTAAACAGTGAACACAAACGTTTGTATCCACTTGGTTCAAACTCTTCCTTATGATCTTTGGTTTGAATTTTCTCTCTCTTTTTTCTTTCTTTTTTTTTTTTTTTTACATTTTTCTTTTTCTAGGATGAATCCTCAATGTTCTTCCAGTTTGGCCCATCAATTGAACAGCAAGCTTCCGTAATGCTCAACATCATGGAAGAGTATGACTGGTACATCTTTTCTATCGTCACCACCTACTTCCCTGGCTACCAGGACTTTGTAAACAAGATTCGCAGCACCATTGAGAATAGCTTCGTGGGCTGGGAGTTAGAGGAAGTCCTTCTGCTGGACATGTCCCTGGATGATGGAGATTCTAAGATCCAGAACCAGCTCAAGAAACTTCAAAGCCCCATCATTCTTCTTTATTGTACTAAGGAAGAAGCCACCTACATTTTTGAAGTAGCTAACTCAGTAGGGCTGACTGGCTACGGCTATACGTGGATTGTGCCTAGTCTAGTGGCAGGGGATACAGACACAGTGCCCTCAGAGTTCCCCACTGGGCTCATCTCTGTATCCTATGATGAATGGGACTATGGCCTCCCTGCCAGAGTGAGGGATGGAATTGCCATAATTACCACCGCTGCTTCTGACATGCTGTCTGAACACAGCTTCATCCCTGAGCCCAAGAGCAGTTGTTACAACACACATGAGAAGCGAATCTACCAGTCCAATATGCTAAATAGGTGAGTATGGAACAGAGGGCACACTGATGATGGAGGTTTGCAGAGAGCTTCTATGACTGGGGTTGGAGGTTCAGAAACTGTGGGAAGAGTAGTTCAAGATGGCAGAGCTTTGAAGGCTGGCCTCTGGAATGGCAATTTGTCATGATAATGGGAGTGTTTCAGATCCAAAGCTTGCTGTACTATGTTCTTGTTTTAAGAAATACAAAACAACTCCCACTTTTTGAGCACTTATTATGTGCTAGGTGTTGCTCTGTTTTGCATATTTGATCTCATTTAATCCTCAAGACAACAACCTCTATTAGGCACATTTTTAAAATTGTTTCCATTTTGCAATACAAGAGATTAAGACTTGTAGGTGTAAATTGTCCTAAGTCATGCTGCAGATAAGAGGTTCAGTTTGGAGCTGATCCCTACATACTTGGTCACTGTGAAAGATGCAGTAGATGTAGAAATGAGGGAAGACCAATCCACCTACCTTTGGAATGCTGCTGTACTAAGAAGAATGAAGAATAGATTACATGGTTTGTAGGCACAGGAAGAGGATTCTTCCCGTGGTTTTTCTCTCCTTTGCTTCTCTTCACTCTGCCTTTGAGAGTAAGGGTACTGCTATAGAGGCAGCTTTCATGGTTGTTCTTAGTCTGGTTTATTCAATAAAAAGATACGGGTGGAGTTCTGCCCCCCTGACCTCACCTCATAGTCCAGCCATGACTGCAGCACATCCTCTTAGGAGTAGTATGTGATTGTGTGGGGTAGAAGATTCTATTCTGTGCTTTTGTGGTTTTGTTATTTGTGTAAAACAGCTGTGTGTGCACATTGTAGAAAGTCTAACAATGTAGAAGAGCATGAAGAAGAAAGTGAAAATGACCTTAAATCTGACTAACCAGAGGTAATCATTGTTGAAATGATTTGTGAACATCTTTCTAAATATATCCTTGTGCATGTATACCTATGTGAATATAAATCTATAATTTTACGTAAATGGAAATATAACTATACATGTTCAGTAACCTGACTTCTTTCACTCAACAATATGTTTTCAGCGTCTATTTTAAATTTATTATGAACTGTATCATGCACATAGAAAGGTATTCAGGAAAAATAAATACTCAGGTAGCCACCATCTGGCTTAAGAAATAAAATACTAGAAAGTGTACTATGGAGAGATTGAAGTATATCTAGTATAGGTTGAATATGTACCTACTTACGCTTGTTTAACTTCTTGAAGGGGGTTGAACTGTAGCCTCTCAGCTAAGCTCCTAATTCAGAGTTGAAACTAAAACTAGTTTTCATGTAGCTCTATCTGTGATCCAATCCTAATATTCTCCTGCCTTGAAGTCGGCTCTTTCTGCCATCCCTAGCTATCACTGTTTGTTTGTATAGACTGTCTTGGTTTTCTTCCTCCCTCTTGTCTCAGGCTCTTTGACATGCTCTTCTTCCTTTATATATTGCTTTTAAATATTGGTGCTTCTCAGGGTTCTGTCCTAGATCATCTTTTCTCATCCATTGCAAAGGATACAGTTAATATCTGTATGTTCCCCCAAATTGACATCTCTGGCTGAAACCTCTCCCTTGAACCCCAGGTCTGTATCTCTCATTGTGACTAGATATTTTCCTTTGGATGCCACAGGGGCTGAGAACACACCATATCCAAATCTGAACTATTTTCTCCTCTCCTGTTAACCCTCCCACCCTCTTCTACCAAGTATGTACCACCTATAAAGGGTACATCCTATTACCCAGTTGCCTAAAATAAAAATTTCCAAGATGTCCTTGATTCCATATCCCTGACACCTCGTAGCCAGTCTTGCACCATTCCATGGATTTCCTCTGGAGTGCTTCCACTTATTTCATGCCTGTAACATATCCCAGTCCATCTCTTCTTACCTGCGTCGCTGCAGGGCCTCTTAAATATCTTCTGGCTCCCAGTTCTGCTCTTTTTCAATCTATGTTGCAGCCAGAGTGATCTAAAATGAAAATGTGATTTCATCACTCTCCTGCTTAATACCTTCAGTGACTTTTCATTGCTCCTGTAATAAAGTCCCATCTCCTTAATGTGGTTTATAAAGTCTTCCACAGCATGGGCCCCCATATCTTTTCAAAATTGTCTCATGCCACTCTATCCCTTAACCACTACATTCCTGCAATACTGAACTTGCTTTAATTATTTGAAGAAAGCATGTTCTCTCTCACATCCGGCTCTTCTGTCTGCCTTCATTGTCCACCCCAGGTGCACCTACCCACCAATACACAAATACAGATGCTCCTTTAGCTGCCTCATTCTGTTCATTTCTCAGGCTTCAGTTTCGCCCTTGCTTCCACTGGGAAGGCTTTCCTGAACCCTGGCTAACATCACCCTGTTATATGCCTTCACTGCATCTTGTACTTTTCCAAGAAAGCCACTCTTTCAGACGATTGTAATTACATGCTTTATTATCTCTCTTCCCTGTCAGTTCTGTGAAAGCAGTGATTTTTCTAACTCATTTCTGTGTCCCTCACTCCTATCATAGTGTGTGGCACAGAGAAGACACTTGCAATGAATGAATGACATCCTTCAAGACACTAAACGGGGGGCTGGCCCGGTGGTGCAATGGTTAAGTGTGCACGTTCTGCTTTGGTGGCCCAGGGTTTGCCAGTTCGGATCCCGGGTGTGGACATGGCACCGCTTCGTACGCCATGCTGTGGTAGGTGTCCCACATATAAAGCAGAGGAAGATGGGCATGGATGTTAGCTCAGGGCCAGTCTTCCTCAGCAAAAAGAGGAGGATTGGCAGCAGTTAGCTCAGAGCTAATCTTCCTCCAAAAAAAAAAAAAAGACACTGAACTGCCCAGTGCATATTTACCCCACTGGAGCCTTCTTGTTCTGCTCCTCTTTGGAAGATAATAGAAATTTCCTTTAAAAACTTTGTTTATTTGGTTCTATGCATTTATATTTTCTCCTGCTGTTTTTAGTGTTAAATTCAAATCTGATTCAGATTATTTTACCAAACGTTTGTTCATTAAACCAAAGCTAACAGTGAAAGACTATAGACTACAACACCTGCCAAACAACACAAGGAGATCAAGTGGGTGTCTCCTTAAAGTCCATAAATATGGTCCAGGAATGTCTGCCTTTATCTTAAAACTTCTTCTAGGTAACAGTGATCTGCAGACTATTATTATTTTCTATTTGGCTTACTTTACATTAGAATGTAAATGTTATCTCTGAAGGCTGATTTCTAGCCACTATATCTTTAAAATCACAATTAGTTTTAACCTTTGTTACCATCTCTTGTTGCCACTCAGGAAGGTGGCCCTCCTCGGTCCTCTGTTCTCCTTCCTTAGAGGTTGTTGTCACTATGGCCACAAATGCCCACCTCCATCTTCTCAAGTGTAGCAGTCCTAAAAGGAACAAGGATTATACAGTACAGATTATTCATAAATTCCTCGAGTACCAATGGAGAGCAGAGAGAGAAAGAGTCTACCTTCACGTGATTTCTTAGTGTAGTGTTTGAAAGTGTCTTCACTCTCACCAAAGTGCTTCTTCACTAAGATATTTCCTCTGTGAACTTTCTCTCCTGCCCTAGTTCCCTGACTTTTCTGGGGTTCTGTACCTGACTGCCTGTTGGGCATCTTCTCTTGGCTGTCTCCCCTGTCCATATACCTGCATCCATTGCTCATCATTCTTGTCTTTTCCTTCCCCACCTGCTTAAAGCAGCTTCTCATGGTTCCTGAATCCAGTCTCTAGGCTCTTTTGGAAATATTTTGACACATTTTTCTATCAGGACCCAGAAAGGATGGGGGTCGACTAACAGGGAGTATAAGGTGCTATCTCCACAGTTTGAGCTATTATCACTGGGCACAGTGCTCTCAAAACATCAGTGGAATTCAATTAAGCACACTTAGTGTAAACTTCTTCCACTTATCCTCATCTGAAATCAGACTCTTGCCCCCCTTGGAGCTCTGGTCTCACTAGGGTCACTCTTTTAAATAACAAACCAAGCAGCCACACCATTTAGCCACAGCAGGAAATCTTTGCAAATAAAATTGTTGGAAATGGTTGGTTGTTTTATGAGGATGACTTTTCCTTTGGCCTGCTGCTCCTGTGTCTGCAACAGCAGCAGCTGGGAGGAGGGCTCCTCAGGAGTTATCTGGGAGTGACCCAGTCCCAGGATGGCACTAGGAATATAGAGTTAGGAAATGGCTCCTCTTCTCACCTTCTGAAGACCCAGGAGCATTAACAGGTCCTGCCCTCCCCGGAACATTGTAAGGGGAGATAGGGCTCTCATTCATACCTGACCAGACTGTGCCTTTCTTTCCATAAAAGGGAAGTTTGCAAGGCTAGATTTAGGGAAGAGGGCCAGGAGGTTATAAGATATGCCTGAATCCCAAAGAGAGACACATTGAAGTGATTTACTTGCTAGTTACTGAAGGAAGATTTTTTTTTAGAAAAAGAAAGGATATGCAATCATACCTTGCATAATGATTTTTCAGTCAACGAATGACAGACCACATTTACAATGGTGGTCCCATGAGATTAGTACTGTGTAGCCTAGATGTGTAGTAGGCTATGCCTCTAGGTTTGTATAAGTACACTCTGTGACGTTTGCACAATGACAAAATTGCCTAATGACGCATGTCTCAGAATGTGTGTCAGGTGTTAAGGGATGCGTAATGACTGTATAAGCATTCTTAGAGAGAGTCCTTAAAATGAACATTTTTAGTTCACTATCAGATGAACGTTATTTATCAGGTGTCACTCCACATTCCTTACTGATAACTTCTGAACTCCTTGAAGCTTGGCCAGCTATAGACATGGTGACTATTTCCAGATAGTCTCTAGGCTACTGGACAAGGCTTTTTACCATGGTTGTGAGAAAAATACAGGAATTCAGTTAAATTTGAATTTCAGATAACCAACAGATGATTTTTTTTTAGCATAAGTCTGTCCTAAATCCTGATAGTAAAAGATAATTTGTTGTTTATGTGAAATTCAAATTTAACATGGCTCCTGTATTTTTGTTT